AACACTGCCAATACTGAAAATCTCTGGCCAAGGCAGGGATTGTTCCAAGACCGTTGGTGGAGAGAAGAACAAAGGTTGAACATTTCAGATTGATGGCCATTCGGCAGAAGTGGGAAAAGTTGGAGACGTGATAGTTTTTTTTTAATCATGTGTAGAGATAGGGGAAAGTAATAAATAAGGAAGGTCTACGGAAGGCAGGACTGAATAGATGTCAGTAGGAATGATGCTGCGATGCAGAAGGAGACTGTCCTGAGACACACGGAGGAACAACATGTGGGTGTAGAAGAGGTGTGAATGGCACCCATAGCCTCATAACCACCAGCTGCTGAACTGAAAATGGGATCAGAACTGTAGAGGGGTAGGGGAGAAAGAACCAAGTAACTGTGGATGCTGGAAATCAGAAACCAAAACAGAAATTGCTGGAGAAACTCAGCAGGTCCGGCAGCATCTGTGGGGAGAAAGCAGAGTTAACGTTTCGGTTCGGAATGGAAGAAGAGTCATACTGGATCAGAAACGTTAACTCCGCTTTCTCTCCATAGTTGCTGCCAGACCTGCTGAGTTTCTGCAGCAATCTTTGTTTTGGTTTCAGAACGGTAGAAACTTAGTGACTCTCACATCCGTGTTAGGGATGTTTGCCAAAGCAGCCGTTAGCTTTGGGTCAATTGTCTGGGTTAGGGTTAGGGTTAGATCTCCTATGTTAGATTTATTTATTTGTTACATGTACTAAGTATAGGAATACATAAGTACAGCGAAAAGTGCACAGTCACCATTCACTGGCGCCCACTTGGTTACAAAAACCTGAATTAAAATATTTAGTAGAGCTGAAAGGTAAGCGAGAAAAACAAAGTCCACATCTCAGAGTCCCAAGACCCATCTCCATAATGGTACAGACAGCGCTCCAATCACTAGGCCACCATCGCCTCACCGTCCCCGCTCTCACCGCCATCACCGTCCCCGCTCTCACCGCCATCACCGTCCCCACTCTCACCGCCATCAACGTCCGCACTCTCACCGCCATCACCGTCCCCGCTCTCACCGCCATCGCCACCTCACTGTCCCTGCTCTCACCGCCATTGCTGCCTCACCGCCATCGCCGCCTCACCGGCCCCTCTCTGGCCTCCATTGCTGCCTCACCGCCCTTGCTGTCACTGCCATCGCCCCCTCACCGCCATCACTGCCTCACCGACCCGCTCTCGCTCTCACCGCCGACATCGCTCCAGTCCACACTCGATTCGCAGTCGTTGCAGAACACGGTCTGTGTGTTCAGATCCCGCCACGCGGTTCCCGGTCGCGACCCGACTCCTTCGGTGGGTAGTTTAAAGGGCAGGGGATGGTGGGGGGCTGGGAGATAGAATTACTGCAGAGGGGAGAGAGAAGAAGAAGGAAAAAGAAAGAAAAAGGAAAGGGAAATGGCGAGCAGAGTGGAGCTCCCAATGGAGCAACTTACCCTGCCACCATCTTGCTGGATTTTACTTGATGGTCAGTTGGATTTTCATAATAACCCTAGTGAATAATCCTGGGGAGACTGCATACCAGAACTCTATAAATGTACATCGTTGGTACATGTTGGGTGAGGAAGGGCAGAGACTGAAGACTGAAGTGAACCATTTGGCAAAGATTTGGAATGCGGAGAGAGTATTTATTTTAAAAAAGAGGAGAGACAGAAGATGAAATGTGATGAAGGTAGGAGATTGAAAAGAAAATGTTGAGTAGGACGGTTAAAAGGAGCCTGAAGTCAGACAAATGGAAACAGCATAATGTGATCCATTGTGAAGAGATGAATTGGATGGTGACCTTAGCTTGAGCACAGCTAAACCTGGATTAAGCAAAGCACTTTATGGGAATCCCTTGGGTGTCTGCTTAGTGCTGCCTTTACTGTGTGATAGATGTTGTAAACTGATCCAGAGCTGGGGTTTCAGAACAACAAGCCCCAACCCCTTTGTTTCCTTGAGGAAACCAAACCAGTCGTTCGAGTTTTAGTTGAGCCCACATGTCCTCGTGGCTATGAGTTATCGGATTGAAAAGGAAGGAATGGCATGGAGCAAGTGCACCAAGGGAATTGGTTACAATATTAAAGTGTGATCACAAAGATAACTCCTGAGGACACAGACTATTTGTCATGTGGTGTATCTATCTGTAGCACCTTTTGTTTCTCTTACCATTCTGTTCAGTATATAAATCAGCAAATGTCACTAAATCTATATGATGTATTAGTTGGACCATACCTAGAATATAGTGAACTGTTTTGGTCACCTTCTATAAGGAAAGATATACTGGCATTATTGCTGATTGAAGAATTCTCAACTCCACTTAACTGCGTTTACCCAAATCTTTCGATTCCCTCACCGATTAAAAATCTATCTCAGCCTTGAATATACTTAATGACACAGCCTCAACAGCCCACTGAGGGGGGAAAAGATGCCACAGTTTTCCTATTCTCTGACAGAAGAGATTCCTCCTCGTCGCTGTCTTAAATGTGCAACTGTTACTCTTAGATTATGTCCTCTGAGCTTAGACTGTCCCACAAGGGGAAACAAACTCTCTCCATCTGTCAAGTCCTCTAAGAATCTTGTATGTTTCAATAAGGTCTCCTCTCATTTTTCTAAACTCTTAACGAGTACAAGCCCAAATTACTCAACCTCTCCTCATAAAACAATCCCTCTATACCCTGGATAAACCAAGTGAACCTTCTCTGGCCTGCCTCCAATGCCAGTATATCTCTCCTTACAGAAGGTGACCAAAACAGTTCACTATATTCTAGGTATGGTCCAATTAATTCATCATATAGATTTAGCGACATTTCCTGATTTATATATTCCCAGTGCAGTTGAACAGAATGGTAACAGAAATAAAGGGTGCTATAGATAGATACGTCACATGACAAATAGTCTGTGTCCTCAGGACTTATCTTTGTGATCACACTGGAGGGAGGGGGATGAAGCAAAATTGAGCACCCACCCCCATGATTTGTGAGTGCAAATGGTCAAAGAGCCTGGTTTTAAGGGACATCTTAAACAAGGAAAGATACGGAGAGGTTTAATGAGGGAGTTTCAGGCTCAGGTATCTGAAGGTACAGCCACCAATGTTGGAGCCATTGAATTCAGGGAATTGAAGAGGACGGAATCGGAGGAGCACAGATATCTCAGAGGGTGAAGGACTGGAGAAAGCTACGGAAATAGAGAGGGGCAAGGATGCACCAGAACTTGGAAATAAGTATAAGAATTTTGAAATCTGTGGTGTTTGACCAGCAGACAATGCAGATCAGCGTGCATGTGGTTAAGAGGTGAACAGGACTTGACAGGAGGAAGTAAAACGTCGCCCTATAATTGGAGAAATTTAAAACTTTATAAGAGAAGGTTAGGATTAACTCTAACCCCTTGCACGTTGACCACAAGGATAAATTTGGATAACTTGCGTTGGCTTAGCAATGTGTGTCTCTTCTGAGTCCAGGGACATTGTTTCAGGTCCACTGCAAGGGTAGACCAGCAGACATACTGATGGAGTGCAGCATTGTCAGAGGCAACACTTTAAGTTGAGATCTTAAACCAAAGCCTCTCCTGTCCAGCCAAATGGGTGGGTGCAAAAGACCCCATGCATGCCTCCCTGTTGTTCTTGGGTCTGTAACTTGGGCTGGGTTTTTATTTTTTCCTCTGTCATTACTTCCCGTCTTTGTGATGTCGTTTTCACCTCAGCTACTGACCCATTAGCTGGGACCACTCTCTCTCAGCACTGACTGGGTGCTGAGCCCATGGCCATCTTTATTTGTAAGGCTAAGGTTCACATTGCCTTTCCAGGCCATTTATTTGGAGGACACGTGTGCAGTTCATACAGAAATGTTGGTGTGGGTTACATGAACAATCTCTACAGTAATGTGCCTGCCAAACTTACTTGGTGTTTTGAGCATTACTGTTGAAACTGCTTTCACCAGCCTCATAGACAGAGCATTCCAGGTCATGACAACTCTCCGTATTTGAATAAAAGAACTCATTTTGTCTCCGTCCTGCCAGTTAAGACTATAAAACACAGGAGCAGAAATAGGCCATTCAACCCATTGAGTCTGCTGCACCAATCAATGAGATTGTGGCAGATCTAATAATTGTCAACTTCAATTTCCTGCCTTTTCCTCAGAACCCATAATCTGCCTATCTCAATCTTAACACCCAGCCTTGGCAGTCTTCTGCAAAAAGGAAGACTATAGATTCACAACCCTCTGAGAGAAGAAATTCCTCCTCATCTCTGGTTTAAATATACCACTCCTTATTCTGAGATTAAGCCCTTCAGTTCTAGACTGTAGAAATTCACCAAAGATCCTCAGACAGCATATTCCAAATCCACTTCCATCTGGAAGGACAAGGGCAGCAGATACATGGGAACACCACCACCTTCAAGTTCTGCCTCCAAGTCACTCACCATCCTGACTTGGAAATATATCACCGTTCCTTCACTGTCGCTGGGTCAAAATCCTGGAATTCCCTCCCTAAGGGCATTGTGGGTCAACCCACAGCACATGGACTGCAGCGGTTCAAGAAGGCAGCTCACCCCCACCTTCTCAAGGGGCAACTAGGGACAGGCAAGAAATGCTGGGCCCAGCCGACAAATCCCACATCCCACAAATGAATAGAGAAAAAAACTCTCTCCCAAGCGGAAATAACTTCTCTGTATCTACCCTTTCAAGCCCTCTAAGAATCTTGTTTAGCAGCCAGTTTTTATCAAACTGTATCTGAACACAGTGCATGGTTTTAGATTTGCTCTGAAAAACAATCACCTGGAAAAACGACGACTCCGTTTGTCCCTCAACAAATGCTGCCAGACCTGCTGAGTTTCTCCAGCATTTTGTTTTATTTATTTACAATCTCCCAGTCTTTTTTTGCTTTTGGATCTAGCCCTTTCAATGCACACTCACGTCACAGAGCCTTGCAGGTCGGAAGCCACTCACTGGGCTTGGAGGTTGTGTTCGGTCATTCCGCTAAAACTCTGCCCTCTCGACTGTTTCCTTGCAGGAGCCAATGAGGAAGATGAAGGTGATGACATGCTGCTGAAACACAGGAAGGAGTTCTGGTGGTTCCCCCACATGTGGAGTCACATGCAACCGCATCTGTTCCACAACGAGACGGTTTTGGCCGAGCAGATGAAGCTGAACAAGCAGTTTGCACTGGTAGGTTACAATTTGGATTTATGTTCCCTTCTGGAGAGGGCAGTGAAGACTCTGTGAATCCGGCTCGCTTGAGAGATCACTGGAATCTCAGAACCTGCCCAGCATCTAACTCAGAATAATGGGTTCAACAAAAACACTTGAATTTATAGAATCTGGAAGTCACTGTCTGTAGAAGCCCTCATGACATTTAAGAAGTATTTAGATGTGCACTTGCAATGCCAAGGCATACGAGGCTGTGGGCCAAGTGCTGGAAAATAAAATTTGAATAGTTAGGTGCTTTGTTTTCCTATGCTGCACACCTCTATGACTAATTGTGGAATGGCATGTGCCATTGGTCTATCAGAGCTGTTTGGGAGAGATTTCCATTTAGACCCACATCATTGTCCTTTCCCCATAGTCCTGCAATGCCTGTCCATTCAAGTCTTTCTCCAATTCCCTTTTGAATGTTACTATCGAATCTGCTTCCACTGCCCCTCCAGGAAATATATTTCAGATCATTGTTAACTTGCTTTGTTAAAAATAAACTTTCCTCAATTTGTCCAAGGTCCTTTCGCCTACTTTCTTAAAAATGCTACTTATGGTTATTTCCCCTTCTCCCACAGAAAACATTTTCTCCTTATTTACTTGATTAAAAACCCCTTCAAGATTTTGAAGGGACCTCCTTTCAACCTTCTCTGCTCCTGGGATAGCAACTCCAATGTCTCTACATTCTTCGCATAACTGAAGGCTCTCATCCCCAACATCATGTTGGTTTGCTCTTCTGGAACCTCACGGAGATTGAAGAGGACCATAGAGGCACCTGTTCGTAGCCTGCGGGGGTATTGCTAGTGTTCCTAGTGGCATTGCCAGGGTGGCACTTAGTCCCTGATATGCCCCCGTCTGGAAAGCTGGGTAGAAGTAACATCTACCCACCTCTGGGCAACATGTGTTTGAGCTTTAAACAGTAGCCAACATTAAATTATGTTTAGGATTCCAGTGTCTCCTCCAACATAGAGTCCCTGCAGTGTGGGGACAGGCCATTCAGCCCATTGTGTCCATACCAACCCTCCCAAGAGCATCCTAACCAGACCACCCACCCACCCACCCACCCACTATCCCTGCATTTCCCATGGCTAATCCACCTAGCCTGCACATCTCTGGGCACTTCGGGCAATTTAGCATGGCCAATTCACCCTAACCAATACATCTTTGGACTGTGAGAGGAAACCCACTCAGACACGGGGAGAATGTGCAAACTCCACACAGACAGTCGCCTGAGGGTGGAATCAAACCTGAGTCCCTGGCGCTGTGAGGTAGCAGTGCTAACCACTGACACCAACAGTACTATTCTAGTATGGCACCATGGGAGGTAATGGGCTATCTACTCTGCACTACTGAGACTGTGCACAGGAAGTTCTACTGAGCACCTGAATCAAATGTAGTCTGAAGAGAAAGGTGTTTTGACACAGGATGCTTAAATTGGGAAGATGTCGTAGTCCTTAAAGCTGATCCATACAAACATCACTTCACAGAATCTTAGAATCGTAATTGTTCAGGAGGCCATTCAGCCCATAATGTGTCCAATCCCCAGTGACAATCTCCTGCATTTTCGCAATATCCCTGCACATCATTGCAATATAAATCATCTTTCACTGATCTCTTGAATGCCTCAGTTTAACCTGCCTCCACGACAGTTACAGGCAACTTGGAAAACATATTGCCATTAGAAACATAAGCTGGCTATTCAGCTCCTCGGGGGTGTTCTGCCATTCAGTTCGATCCACAGCTGACCCATACCCTAACTCCACTCTCCTCTCTTGGTTCCATCGCTGGTCAATGGGTCAGGATGCTGGATTGCCCTCCTGATACCTCACAGATTGCAGCGGTTCAAGAAAGTGGCTCACCATCACCTTCTCAATGTGAAATCACCACTGACTCTCCCACTGCCATGAACAAATTAAACAAGAACATGTACAACAGAAATCTAATCTCAATTTTGAAGCCTCAAGAGGTTTCTGAGGGAGAGTGTTTGCAGATTTCCAATGGCTTCTGTATGAAAAAGTGTTTCCTGACATTATCCCAGGATAGTCTTGCTCTAATTTGAAGGTTATACTCCATGTTCTGCTCTCGCCCACAAGAAAAATTTTCTCTGTTTTGACCTCATCAATTCCTTGAACCATCTTAACAGCTCAATTAAATCACCCACTTAAGCTTGTAAACTGAAATGAATACTTCATCTTTTGGGGCCCTCTTGTAGCACAGTGGTAATATCCCTTCCCCTAGACCAGAAGGTCTGGGGTTCAAGTCCCACCTGTGTCAGAACATTACTGAACAGGTTGATTAGGAAAAATAGGTTAATTAAAAAAAACTGTAGTGAATACAAGCTTCATCTTTGGGGGCTCTCTTGTGGTGCAGTGGCAGTGTCCCAATCCCTAGACCAGGAAGTCCATATTCATTTCAGAGGGAAGGTCAGGAGCACACACGATGGTCTGGAGTTACATGTAGGCCAGACCAGGTAAGGACAGCAGAATTCCTTCTCTAAAGGACATTAGTGAGCCAGAAGCTGGTTATGACAATAGTAATAGTCACCATTACAGTGATGAGCTTCACTTTATTCATTGAATTTAAATCCCACTAGATGCTGTAATGGGATTCAGACCTGTCTCCTCAGAGACCAACCCAGTCCTCTGGATGTCTAATCCAGTGACGTTACTATCATCTCTGTCTAATGAGAGAGCAGCCCTCTGGTCCAATAGGACTATGGCAACCTTTCCTATTACATCTCCATTTCCAATTCCACCATCGTCTTTATTATTGAATTCAATCAACCCTTTGCCGCCCATGACAATGTTTCCTGATTGAAATGATGATAAGTTGTTGAAAGAACATCATAAACAAGTGAATGGGTCAAAGGTGGTTTGAAGGTGGTGATTTTCTGGGGAGAATTTTGCCCCTTTTGTAGCTCTTCAATGTAACAGCATGGAATTTTGAAAAGTCCTGAATGATTGCTGTTCTGCTCCTTTGATGCATTTTCCAGTAGGCATTTGATCTGGACCTGGGCTGCAGATCAGGCTAAATCACAGGTTGAATTACTCACAAGTCCTTCTCAAAAGAGAATCCAGGAAAACGTAAAGTGACTGAAATCAGAACCAGATGGTTTATGCAGTAGGTACATACAAAGTAGGATTTTTTTTAATATAACAATTCTAGTTGACTGTCTATGAATTATTTTACAACATAGCCTGCAATCTTAGGCTCTTTTATTTTGATGGAATGTCTCGGGAATTTGATTTTTTGTAACGGTTTTTGCAGTAGATTATTTATGTTCCAAGATGTTGTTTGTAGAGGCACTCAATGGGGTTTGCCATTGTCTGACCATAGGAGGCTCAAAGAAACAAGTGGATGTCAATGGGCAGCGTAGGGCACACTGGGGAAGATACCTGCCAGACCACCACCACCACCCACCCAGGTCGAAGGGTCATGGGAGCAGATCTCAGTTCAGCCTTGCAACAGGGTTTGCTGTGCTCAGACCCAACAGATGCATGCCAAACCAACAATGTTCATGCAAATGAGATAGTAGGAACTGCAGATGCTGGAGAATCTGAGATAACAAGTGTAGAGCTGGATGAACACAACAGGCCAAGCAGCATCA